ATCACATGCCATTGTAATTATCAATCCCAAAAAAATATTATAATAATAACGAAGAACATGAACACCACCATCATCATCTTCACAGGCCACGATAAACTTCTCTTTTCTTTCTTCGAACAAACCCAAAAAAAAAAAGAAAAAATGAACTGGGAACATAATTATCTGAGAAAACACAACGATCATCATCTTCTTCATCAAGGATTTTTCTCGATCTCTCATGCTTCTCTCTCGTAAAGATCGAGAGGATATTCTGAGGATTTGATCCTCGATAAACTCCAAAGGGAAATTTAAACATTGAGCCCAGAGATTTCACAAATTTCATTATCTTTCGATTTTTCTTTCGTTTTTTTTTTCCAAAACAAATCAATCTACGGATTAAACTCTCACGATCTTCGCCGCTTTCACCACGGGATTCTCCCTCGCGATCGCCTCACGACCAGCGGACTTGTAATCGAAGCTACAATCGTGGCGATCTGAATAACGGTGCTCCGCACAGAACAAATCGCCGCATCGGCACCTAAATCCGGTTAATCCGACGCGTTTTCTACATCCGGAGCACCGATTCACCACTCGCTTTGCCGATTCGTCAGGCTTCGGACGATCAGCCGCCGTCGTAATCCTCCTCGACTCAGCAACGAACCGAAATTTCTCCGGCGAGCGAGACGTCGTAGATCTCGGACTTTTCTCACCGGAAAACTTCATAGCCATGGACGCTGTCGCCGACGCCGCCGTGGCAGCATTAAAGCACTTCTGACACATATTATTTGTCGCCGGATTCCCGGTCAGACCGCAGTTGTTGACGCAGAGCGTGATCGTCTCCGGTACTTTGAACTCCGTTTCCTCCTTCTCAGTCCTCTGCGCCATATCTCCCGATCGGATCCTCAACAACAACAAAAAAAAATCCCCAAAGAGATTCAGAGAGCGTGATGATAAGAACGAGAAGATTTGATTGAAGAGGTTGGGTTTATTAGAGGGGATGAGAGAGAAACGGGGAAATAAGGAATATGAAGGGATTGATGGGTCGGCAAGGACGATGTTCTACGGGCCTCATAGAGACGCGTATAGAACATTTTTCACCTACTTTACCAAAATAGCCCTCTTCTTTTACTTATTTACCTTTATACCCTCCCTCATTTTGCTCTGTTCTTAATCGGCTGGTGACGTGTCCTTCTTCGTCATTATGGTAACCGGACAATTTACAATTGCCAATTATTATTATTATTTTTAAATATGTCCTTATTTAATTATTTTCTGAAATTTATTGAATAAAATTCCTTTTTCTTACCCATCCAGGTTAATGAGTTAATTAGCTTAATTAAATGAATTAAGTGTAGAAATTAATTATCTCATTTAAATAAGTTTAATTTAAAGATAATTAATCACCTTATTTGGTAACTAATTAATCTTTTTTCAATTAAAAAAAAAACATAAAATTTAGGATTTTTATAATTTTTCAGTCCATTTAACGACAATTTGGCTCAACCCCACAAACAGCCAAACAAAACCTACAATCACAGCCTCCTATCGGATCATCACCCCACAGATTATGCTCTTCCAAGTAGCGAACATGTTGTTGTCTCTCACAAGCCTTCGCCCACAACCCCTTTTCACAAAAACACACATCAACTCGACCACTGTTGGATCCATGGTGTTCTTCCCTCTTTAGATCTTGTCCAGCTTTTCAGCCTTCACCACGGGGTTGGCTTTTGCGATTGCCTCCCGACCAACAGCTTGATAATCAAACGTGCAGTCGTGTTTGTCGGAGTAGCGATGAACTGCACAGAAGAGGCTTCCACATCGACAGTTGAACCCGGTTAGTCCGACGCGTTTCCTGCAGCTGCTGCACCGGTTTGGGCTCGCTTTTACCTTCTCCATGGTGGTGGTGCTGCTGCTGCTGCTTGCATTTGGAGTTGTCCAAGATGGTTGTGTTGGAATGATGGATGATATAGCTGGTTCGATTTCTAGCTTGGTTGGAGAAGTGACAACAGCAGCCTTCTTCCCATGGTCATTTGGTCCACCATTCACAATGCTTCCGATAGAGGATGCTGCAAGCTTGACCTGTTCTTGCTTCATGATGAAGTCTCTGTGGCATTTCGAACATAGGTTCATAGTTGCAGCACTTCCAAAAAACCCACAGTTGTTTGCACAGAGTTTGGGAGCTTCAGGAGGAGCTTGGCATCCTGTCTCTTTATGATGCTCCATTCTTCACCTTTCCTGTAAATAATATGATCTATCAGCTTATGAATATGAATACACACACCAAGTTCAGATTTCCAAGCAAGTCATGGCTATTGATTTGATTATAGATACCAAAAACTGGATGAAATATTCAAGCAAATCAGGATTATTGATGGGTCCATCTGTAACGAAACTATCACACGTCCAGAAAAAGGGGAACACAACTAACAGTAAAACTTTTGAGAAACAAGAACATGATAAGCCTTGGACCTCACAATAGTCTTCTATGGTTTACATCTCTAATTCCCTCTCTCCACTCACCCAAATTGTGAGATCCCGAAAACGAAGCATTCCTTATAAGGGTGTGAAATTGTGGGATCTTCAAGAACGAAGCATTCCTTATAAGGGTGTGAAATTGTGGGATCTTCGAGAACGAAGCATTCCTTATAAGGGTGTGAAATTGTGGGATCTTCGAGAATGAAACATTCCTTATAAGGGTGTGAAATTGTGAGATCTTCGAGAACGAAGCATTCCTTATAAGGGTGTGAAATTGTGAGATCTTCGAGAACGAAGCATTCCTTATAAGGGTGTGAAATTGTGAGATCGAGAACGAAGCATTCCTTATAAGGGTGTGAAATTGTGAGATCTTCGAGAACGAAGCATTCCTTATAAGGGTGTGAAATTGTGAGATCTTCGAGAACGAAGCATTCCTTATAAGGGGTAGAAACCTCTCCTTAACATAAAATCATGAGGCTAACAACGATACATAACCGGCCATATCAGTGGCCTTTTACAGAATGTAGTCAATGAACTAACCAAAGCATAATCATTGCAATTTATCTCTGTCCCTAATGAAATATCGATTGCCCTTCCACTTTGAAGTTCCACTAAGCTCTCATGAGATGAGAAAATCCATAACAATTAGTCCTGAACCATTCCAGGAAGTTGGGACCCTAAGGTAAACTAAGGGAAACAAACTAGCTCGAAATTCTTCTACAAAGTATACTTGCCAGTGCCAGGTCCAACGCATACGCCTTAATTATGTTCTGAAACAAAACTCCAATCTAATGGGGTTAAAACCAAAATTCCAGGCTAAGCAAACCTTGTTCAAGGAAGAGGGATTAATTAGCAAAAGAACATGATAACGAATTAGAGGCAAGAAAAAAAGTACAGTTCCTCAACAAGACAAAATCATACATGAAAAATCCTAGTCTACAAACTTCAGAAAAGCAATCGTGATTACTTTCATCCACAAGTTTGATTAACAATCCCCCACACACAGCAGGGTGATTAACCTAACCACAAGAAAACATCATCTACGATTTTAAAAACGTAATCGTTTTCTCCAGAAACAATCAAATCGATTCCTAGAAACGAAACGAACCCTTAAATTCTAAGCTCTAACCTGTTCGTTGTTGAGTGTAGGAGGGAAAGCTCTATACGACCGCTGTGTATCGATGATTATAGAAAAAAGTCCATAAAATTTTCAAGCGAACTTACGATTCTTCGCTCCCCCTCTCCCCACTGAAAATCAACAACAACAAAAGGGCAAAACAGAAGAACAGAAGTAAATCAGAGAACAAAAACAGAACAAAATCTCGCATTCGAGGAACAAAGTAAGCAAAAAGATAAATTAGTGAAGAAGAAATTGATGAAACTAACCCTACAACGATCAGAAAGGAAGCGGGGTTTCGAAGATGAATCCCTTCAAATGGAATTTCCGATTTATAGAGAAATTCAGGGGCCGGTGTGGGCCAACAAAATAAATAAATAAATAAATAAACAGTACGAGTTATTAAGGGCTGGTTGTGGGCTACACGTGGAGTGTTGAGGGGAGCGAAGAGGAAAAGTAAGAAAAGAAGCGTGGAATTGACCAATGAGAATGAAGGTAGTGGCGAGTTCTAGTGGTTCTGGTTGTAGAGGATCTCAACAGAAAGTTTGGAGACTGGGGCTTACGTGTTACGATTCTACTCTTTGTTACGTGTAATACTTCTTCTTTGGTCGACACGTGGAAAGTGATGTTTTTGTTTTTTTTAAATTTAAATAGTGAAATTTGAATTTGAAGGAATGATGCCTTTTATAATTTTTTCCTTAAAAAAGGAAAAACCACTTTCCTTTTATAAATTTATTTTTCCGCTTTTTTAATCCAAAATTCGGTTCATTTAATTTTCATTTTTTTATATGGAAAAAAATATTTATTTTCTATTTAATTTTTTTAAAACGTCCAAAACTTTGAAATTTTATTAAATTGCACCCAGATTTTAAATAAGCATTTGAAATGGCAACAAATAAAAAATATAAATTATCATCATATTTGTAAAAATAAATTCTAAAGTATATTTATTTATTTAATAATTAATTATTGTAATAATTAAATTTAAATTATTTTGAAATTAGTGATATTATGAAAATTTTAAGACTACTTTTTGTTAAAATTAACAATATATATATATATATAAATAAATAATTAAAAAAATCTCATTCATTTCACTTTAATTATATATACTTTTTTAATTATCACCCTAAATATAATAAAAATCGTTGAGAATTATAATTATCTATTTTTTCATGTTATTAATATATTCATATATTAATTAATTTTAATAAATAAAAATAAGTACAAAATAATAATTAAATTACACAATTTTTTTCATTAATTATATTTTTTATGTATTGTAACTTATATGACAAGGAAGCCATTCAAAAAATAAACGTATTTATTAAACAAATACCGATCTAAAATATTTAATGAATTTAATATTTTAATCGTATTTTATTTAATCAAGCAATTAAAATATAAGGGCAAAATTGTAATATAACAATGAATCGAAATTCTTTTTTATTTTTCAACTTCGACTCACATCACACGTCCATGGAAATCGATAAAATAAATTTAAAATGAAATAAAGAAAAATAAAAGAAATTCAGTTGAAGTAGTAGGCGACGAAGGAAACAAGCGAGGCGCCGACGAGCGATCCAAGGGCGGGAAGAGCGGCGGAGGCGGCGCTGCTCGGCCCTGGAGCGGCGGCGGGAGAGAGAGACTCATCGGAGGCCACGACTGCAGTAACAGTAGCGGCGGCGAAGAGGGCGGCGCAGGCGATCTTCTTCATTTCCATGGCGGATTAGGATGAACTGGTTGCTTTCTTCGGCAGGAAAACTCACTTCGAATTGAGATGAGAGAGATATCGAACCGAAGAAGCCTTAGATCGTTCGATTATTGCCTGATGAAGAACGACGCCGATTGGGGGAATTTATAGGTCCATCAGGATGCTAATTTCGGGATTTTTTTTTTTTATTGGTTAAAAATGATTTTCTATAACTGTTTTAAGCGAGTTTTACTCTCGTCCTACGTTTTTTTTTTTTTTTTTCCAATAATATTTGGTTAAATTATTTTCTTTTTCAAATATTCAATTTAATTTTTTGTATTTTAATATTGCTTAATATTGGTTAGTTTGTTATTTAGCATTTTTTTTTAAATAGTCTCCATGAATAGGTTTTATAAATTATTGTTATTATTATTATTTAACTAATTTGAATAAAAAAATTGAAGGTAAGGGTATTAATTAATTTGATGTTATTTTAAAAACTGTTATAAAAAGTTGTACCAATTCAAATATAATATAAAATAAATAAAGAGAATGCAACTTTGTTAATGAGAATTTTCAGTCAAGAGCATCCCATCATTATTTTTAATTAAAATTGAGGATATTATATTTTATTTTCGTTTGAGGGTGGAGTGTATAATTTATTGTGAAGCGATATAAATGTAAGATATTGTAATATGAATATTTTGTTTCTCTCCTCTCCGACAGATTGATGCGGAATCTCATTTCTCTCTCCAACCGATTGATGTGGAATCTCACGATCTCACAATCCTCACAAGTTTACTGCTAGTAGATATGATTCTCACAAGATCACAAGATCGATCTCATAATCCTCACCTCACAAAGTCTACTGCTAGTAGATATTGTCATATTTACCCAAGTCGCTAATAGATATTGTCATATTTAAGCTTTCATATAAACTTGAACATAAAATATTAATAATTAGTGCAATGCAATAACATAACGGTGAATCAGAAAAGAATTAAAATGATAATTTATTCATTTAAAAAATTATCGATATAGCAACTTGTGATGTCTCAAGGTTGGGGAGGAGAACAAAATACCATTCATAAACCTAGTAGAGTGTTTTGAGGGAAAACCTGAAAGAGAACAATATTTGTAAGCAATGGATTTGGGGTTACGGCGGACGAAAGTTTGAATATCTGATTTATACTTATAATCCAACATTCCACTGTAATAATAATAACAATAACAACAATAATAATGGTTTTTAAAAAAGGGACCGTCTTTGATTGTAAAAATTGAGTACATCCAGCCAAACCCTGATGTAAATTTTGTATTGTTTCTCTACCAAACACGACATTGGACATTCCCTTTAATCTTCCTTTGAAACACTACAAACCAATACATTCCTCTTTTTTTTTTTTTACTTTTCAATGTTTAGTACAGCACGTACAACCAACGACGCAATTTATTGAGCTATTCAGCTGTGCTACATCTGATGTGAAAACCCTTTATTTTGCCATCCCAAGAATAAGGCTTCAACTTACTACATTCAATTCTCAGTATGACAATGTCTTTAGCTTTATTTCCATTCATAGAAGATGATGAAGTTCGAATCACCGTGTTCGATAACCCACCTTCCATTTCTCATTATCGGACTCCAGCAAGCAATTCGACACCTGAAACACGTTTTTCAAACTACTCTTAGATTTCTGTAAAAGAAGACTTTACAACAATACACAGAGTTCGGCATTTCATGGACTAAATCGTTAATACAAGCCTAACTCAAGACCCCTAATGAAATGCACAAAGTTTGGCATTTCGTGGACTCAATTGTTAATAACTGATTTCCTAAGCAAGCCTAACTCGAGACTAATGCAATGCACAAAGTTTGGCATTTCATGGACTAGAGTGTTACATATGGAACAAGAACGAGTTTGAAATAGAGTGATCACAGGTTGTACCAAGATTAATCAACTCCGTTTCTGATAAATATATTAGGTGTCAATTGATAAAGATGCTGAATTTCAAAAAAAATCCAAACAAGACTAGCAATATAAGTTTTCAAGGTGGAACGATTATCATATTAAAATGGCATGAAGCTGAGCTTAGGGGTTGAGGGCTGCTTCGTGTGTTTGCATACCTGATAAAATGGTTCTTTCACCTGATATGCAAGTCACTAAGGAAGTCGGACAACCTAGAAATAGCATCAAATTAATAAAAGGCGAAATTGCACAAGAAATGGACAATATCAAGCAAATGCACAAAACAAAACCTAATGTTTTTAGCTATAATAGTGAGGCCGTCTTGATTCCCAATGTGACGCAGTGCTACCTCTTCCAACCGGCCATCCCGATGTGCGTGCTGCAATGAGAAAATCACATCAAAATTTGTATCTCATTTGAAGTTAATACAGCAGACTAAAAGGCAGAATTGCAAACACTTCAAAGGCAGAAAATGACATATAAGATTTGGAAAGTAAAGAAACCAAATATTCGAAGAGAAGGAAAAAAAACACTTCACACAACTGCAAACAAAGAAATCACCAAATCAAACATTAGGAGCCCACAATTGGCTTGGGAAAGCAAGAGGGTGAAACAAAACTCTGCATAAAATCTATGAATGATGAAAGATAGCAAGTAAAAGATATTCCTAATTCCCAGCAGTAAGATACAAGACTTCCGAAGTCATAGTAATATCTACACATAACGAAAAGGGGTCTCCCATATATAGATCAGCGTCATCTTGGTAACTCAGCAACTAATTTGCCCTAGGACAAATGACTAAAGCTTATCGTGAAGTATCATTCCCCAATAATGGCGTTTGTGACAATTAACAAAGTCTACGAGCCTGTATTTTTGCACGTAGGGCACTGCTATGTGACCAAAAATGCTAGAATAGCAAATATCTGGGCAAAGACAAGAAAGGAACTCGTGAAAGACCCAATTTACATCAGGCACAACTACCTATAAAAAATGTAGTTCAAAAACTATAATTCTCCTCATCACTTGACAAGTTGGCTTCACAACCCAACTGCATTAGAACAAATGCCATCTCCAAAGGTGTTAGCTCTTCAAAATCTAAATCTTCAGCACTAAAATCCAAATCCTCTAAGTCTTGAAACATATCAAAAAAGGCATCCATATCCACAATATTAGATCTGCTAGGAGGAGTTCTCTGAGATCGTGGTCGGTGCGGAGGTGGCCTGTGATATTTCCATGTGTATGAACCAGGCTTGACCAAGTGCTGGAACACAACAAACATTGTATCAATCAAAAGACTGGAAAGCCAATCTGCTCTAATGAAATTAAATGACAACAGAATGCGCAATGAACAGCACTGCTTATGTCTACCACATCTTTCAACATTTACCACAAAAGCTGACTGAAAGTTTTTGGGAGACAGAAGAATGTGACAGAGCAGTTGCATATTTATTCTCCAAAATAGACACGCGCAGATGATTTGCAAGCATATGGATTGGCTTTAGAACTGATGAATGATTCCAATAACAGTTTTTCTAATTAAAATAACGCAATTTAGAAGAGGCCCCTCCAGTAATTCTATGGTGCTAACCTACAATATCCTCATGATAACACTTTTAAATCAAATAGCTGTAAGTATATTACTTTTATTAATTTGAAACAGAGAAGTCCATTATCTTCACCCAATTATAACAGGTCTAGCAATACATTCTTTTTCTTTTTTCTATAGGAGGTCTAGCAATAAAATATTGGATTGCAAAATTAAATAATTTCATCATATTGGTAATTTAACTAAGACCGATAAGACATCACTAAACAGAGGTTGCAGAGCCAATCAGCCAAAGTAGTAAGCACATCACTTTCAGCCAGATTGAGCCCAGAAAATTTTCTAAGACAGCAACAAAAGTAATTGCAAAGATTTTGTTTGAGAACTTGTGAACTTGTCCCCACAAATTACATGGACATTTGTAGATAAACCTTAGGCCTTGCTTAATAAACATAGAATTTTAAATTTTCAAAAATTAACCAACCATTTCTTAGTTTAGTATTTTTGTTTTCTGCTTTTCAAAAGCCAGTTTAAAATTCTCAGCCAAATTTTAGAAACATAAAACCAAAAATTTGGAGGGTTTTCTTTTAACTATTAAAAATTTTCTTGACATTTTGTTTTTAATTAAAAAAAAAAAAAAAGTAGGCTTTTAAAATATCCTCAAAACTAAATTGAAGACTAAAGAAAATTGTTATTCAAAGACTCAAGTAAATTTTAAGATCATACATTTTCTTGTTTATCACATTTTAAAAGCACTTTTAAATTCTTAGTTCCCCTCAAGCACAATTAACATAGTTTTAAAATCTACTTTCCAAAAATAATTTGTTTAGGATTTTTTAAAAATAGATTACAGAACAGTGATATTGGTTATAAAGCATGAATTTTAGAAACAGAAAACAAAAAGAAAATGGATATAGATTATCTATAGTATATACCAAAGCAAGTTATTATTTATGAGATTTGGTTATAGTAGGAACACAGGTGGGAGAAAAGAAAGGGACTTCATGCCTCGTCCTCACCCTCGAACTATTTTAACTGAGACAGGGCTTCCCAAGAGAGATACCTATGAGAAATGGAGGAATCCTTTGGGTTTTTTTGTTAAAAAAAAAAAAATAGACAAGAAAGAGGCACCCTTACCATTATGTGTCAAAAGAACAAAATGAAACACGCTAAGAGGCACTGAACCAGAAATTTATATATTTTTCATCATATTGGTAGTCTATTATTATGAGCACCCTAATAGCAAAAAAAATTGAACAAAAACATAGTGAAAAAGCTGGCCAAATGATCAGCAAATTTACTTTGTCAACATGCAAGTTAAAATTGAGTACGATTCCACATATCTACCCCACCATGATTGGGATGGCCATGGTAAATGGAGACGCTTATAAAACCATCGAAGGATCATAGGAACAAAAACAATCTTCCGTTGCACTATATTTCCGTCTCCAGATCACAGAAAGAATTCCTTCCGTAAACTCATGTCCACGAAACCAAAGATGTAACTAATCAACATACTTCACAGGCATTCAAATATTAGAACAACCAAACAGGTTGAGATTTCCATTCAGCATATCAATGATCGGTTAAAAGGCAATATGGATAAAGGAATAGAGAAAAAAAAAGGAAGAAGAAAAAATTTCAGGAAAATTGCAATTCCAAAGGCCACAGCAACATCCAGCTTGCTTAGAAGAGCATAATCAGGATAAGAAAACTGAAGTAGATGATTTCAGAGACAAATTTACCTTGTAAAAACAACTAGATCCAAATGGGCAGTTCCCATTTCCAAAGTTAAAGTGCTTGCAATCGATTGATCTGTGCATGAAAATAATATAAAGTTGCAGGATCAGAGTACAGAAATTATTTCAACAGCTCACACAATTACTTTAGAGCAGTTATGCAGTTTCCATTCTTCTAGAAAGCATATTGATCATTCCTGTGGACTATGGAGATTTTCAGATTACATTTGATATGGCACAGATAAAAATGAGTTTGGTTATAAAACATAAAAAACAGGAACAGAATGGACAAAATTTAATAGTATCCAGAATGTAATCAAATATTAGGAATTAAGAACATAAATTTACCGCAGCTTTGACTTGTAGCTATCAACAATCTCTTGTTTTTCTTCCTTGGAAGAATACCAAATGACGCTTGGAATAACAAAGTATGATAGCTTCCTACAAATTGGGCAGGCTCTTAAAGCACTGTTAACATCCATTCCGGAGGTAGATGAACTATTACGCCAGTTTCTAATACAAGAAATGCAGAACGGATGATCACATTCTGATAGAAGCCCAAACTTCCTCTCGGCTATTTCGGTTTTAGAAAGAACACGCTCGAGGCAGACACTGCACTCTATTTCTTGGCTATGTTTCAAAGACTCAAGATGTTTTTGCTTTTTCTCACATGCCTTCATATGCTCCTCCCTTTCATCCGTCCTAAAAGGATGTAAACATTGTTTTCCGCACGTGGGACATAAGTCCCCATGAATGTGAGGGCAATTATCACCACGTGGACAATTAGTACCAGCAGCAGAAAAAGAGCAAATAGGTAAATCGGCTGGACTAATAATCCTTGTCTCCCTACTCCCCCAATCATCAAGACCAGATGGAAGCTCACACTCTACACTCCAAGCAGATTCAACGTGCGAGGGAAGACAGGATATCTTTGAACCAGCAAGCTCAATTGTCGACCCAGGTGAAGGAGAAAGTGGACTTGATAATAGAGTATGAGCTATTGAAACAGATTCAGACATGTGAGGTTGCTGAGAATTCGAAGAAGCGGATGACTCTGCATGAGAAGCTTTAACATGGTCATATCTGCATCGACTGCCAAAAGCACACCTTCCCTTTTGATAGTAAGTGCAAACCTGTTTCACGAATGATACATCAGAAAGAAAGATTGATAGGAGTGCCAAACTGACAGTTGGTTTACATTAAAATGCATAGCAATGCAGAGGAGTGGAAGTAATATTTACATTGCTAGGTGGAGCCGTCCAGTCATGCGAAAACTCACAATACTCCCCTTTCAAGCATGCTCCATGCGCAAAATACTTGCATAGAACCCTAAACAATCCACCAAAGTAAATTAAGACGCTAAGAACGTGTTAATTCCAAGATATACAATAACAAAACTTCATAAAACACAAAGTCCAGCCTCAACAACAACCACAAAACAAAACAGCTTTCGTGAAAACTCGAATACCAAACATTTCCAACCACATATTTGATCACCCAGCCCCTCAAAATAGTTTATACCTAATATCAAACCACATACCAAAGAACCATGATCAAGATTACTCGAGAAGGTACATCCAAACAAAAGAAAACCATGAACCGGAAGATACTATTCAAGAAAAAAAAAAAAAAAAAAAAAA